CCACACAGGGAGCGCGAGACGTGCCGGCCGGCTCCGGTACCCACCCCGTCGCGTGTACTCGCCCGCGCGGCCCGCTCGCCGTTTAGTTGTCTGCCCCCGCGCCCCGCCGCGCCCCACCCCGCCCCGCCCCGCCACACAGGGAGCGCGAGACGTGCCGGCCGGCTCCGGTACCCACCCCGTCGCGTGTACTCGCCCGCGCGGCCCGCTCGCCGTTTAGTTGTCTGCCACGGGAAGTTTCCCACGCCCGGAGGGGAAATGGAATATTGCTGGACACGTGCAGCGCTGGTGCGTCCATCTACTCACGCGCTTCTGCTGTTTTTTTGCCGTCGGCTTCATTCCTTTTGCAAACATTCTATCGCTTCATTATGCAGGAGGAGCTTTACTGGTAAGATTTCAAAAGTGTTGGGTTGACATCACGTATCGTTTGTGGCGGGCGGAGGGTGCGTGGGCCCGGGGTACCGCCGGGCACCGCAGGGCATTGTGCCGGCCCATTACTGCAGACGGCAGCAGAATGGGCAGAATGCTCTCCCGAGAGGTTAAGTGTGTTGTGCAGTGAATTGCAGCCAACGATAGCGAGCTGTCGCGTAATTGGCGAGAAAGAAGCCCCTCTGGCCGCAGGGGACCCCTGCTGGGCGTTTTCAGCCACGTGTGGCCACGTGACATCGTACTCACAGCCACCGGAAGACGTCATTCTACGCACAGGTCCGCCGCCCGAATAACTCGCGACCAACACCAACCTGCGGACAGAAAAAGGAAAGACACAAATTACTTCAACTTCAGAAACAATATTTTATTTTCCCGAACAAGAACAAAAGTAAATTTGAAAAATGTTCACTTTTATTAATACCCGTTTGGTTCGAGGGGGCCACCACTTCGATTTAGGATGTGCACAGGACCACGTGATTACAGGGATTACATACACGTGAATTTTGAGGGATTACACATGAATTTTCTTGAATTTCTGCACTGGAAACGCAAGTGTGTAAACGTCCCACACTTGTAGGTGTGTGAATATCCATTCGTACACTTAGAGGGGTTGGGATTAAGGTGTGAACTTTTCTAGAAAATTCACACGTTTTCTCCACTTAGGGTACGAATGGATATTCACACACCTACAAGTGTGCGACATTCACACACTTGCGTTTCCAGTGTGGCTCTAAAACCATTAAATTTGGACAACAAGGTGAAGTTTGGTGATAATCGTTTAAAATTTGGTCAAGTATTACACGGAATACAGAATAATTACTCGGTAAAAACAATGTCGCATTTTTTGAGGAAAAAGGGAAAACTTTGAGGAACTTCCATGATTGAGGAAGAGTCCTCCGATGTCGAAATCTTTTCAAAAATGAGGAAAAAACCCACATGTTTTAGGAGACTTCCTCGAAATCTGACGAGTGTTTGTCAAACCAGGGGAGTTCGTCAACGTTTCCCCTTTTCCCTTAAAAAAGAAGACCTTGTTTCTACCGTGTACATAGGGCACTCTCATCTGTACCCAGGATTACGCGGTTTACTCAATGCCCTCGTCATCCACTGAGCCAGCACAGGGCGAACCCATTAATCATGACAGCACCGTCTCGCAGGGACGCGCATAAGTTCAGAGGTCAGGTCCACCATTGACCGCGGAGATGCGCTTTCAATGGTGCACTTCAGCGCCGACGTATCGGTACGAGAGAGAGAGCCGCGCGCATGACTGGGCGCAAGCAGGGCCCGGTTCTGTCAATCCTTTTAGCCGCGAGTGCAAAGAACGCACACTGGAAAAAATTCCTACGCCCGCACCGCACACCATTGCACACTCAGAAAACCGTATCTTTATAGGAAAAAAATCATCATAATAACCAGAAAAATTTTCTTTGCCATGAAGAACAATTCTCTTTAACGTAAGGGGGCAGACCTGTCAAATACTGGAAAATGCATTGGTTCGGGACATTATTTGTTTTGAGAAAAATACCTATCGCAGTGAAATAAACGAAATACCCCTCCTATAATTGGCAATAAATGAGGCCTGATGTGAGCGGCGGCGCTGCTTCCAGCTCCGGCCGCTAGGGAACCGAGAAGTGTACCCGTCTGGTTTATGCCGAAGAAGACCGTGTCCCTCCTCTACCATGAATCAAATTGTAGCCCATAATTCTTCATCAATTAGAGGGCCTTTTCGTCCATTTCACTGTGATTCATAGTTTTTGTTTAAATAATCTCCTGGGCTTAGACAGGCCTTAGACAGGTCTGCCCCCTTAACGAAAATGTTTTCAATTTGACAAAACTTTCGTTCACTTCGATAATTTTTTTCGTCACCCGACCGAACGAAAAATGTTTCTTTGGTTTCTGGTAAGAAATTTTCGAAATGGTAAATAATGTTTCTTTCGATTTATGCAAAGAAACGTTTTTCGGGGTGCACATGGGGTACTATTATTGCGATTTCTTCATGACTGCCCAGGACGCCGTCCGTCTAGGTCGTTTGGACCAGTCGGACTGATCGCAGATGGACGCGGCCCCGGGCCCGGGGGTTCCATCGTGTCTGCCCCGGTTCTTAGGAGAAGCTTGTCAGAGATGCGCATCCTGGTCTGTGTGACGTCACGCCCGGGCGGCGTTTTAGTCAGCCCGGATAGCCCCCCTCCCCCTTTCCCCGCCCGTTTATGGGCGACCATGCCCCGACCCGATCCGTCAAAAGAGGCGCGCCCGACCCGGCGGGGCGCGGGGCGCGGCGGCGGACCGCAGTTCACACGATCAAAACCGCGGGGCCGGCCTGATGGTGGAAGAAAAACTCCACACGAAAAAAAAAATACCACGCACCACACAGCGGGTCTTTGACATGTATACGACACCGGGCAGAGACAAGAATAAAAATAAGATAATCCAGGTTGGGTTCACTTGAACCCTGGGCGAGCGCCGAAATGCTCGACGATGTCGCCTCGCCGGTAGGAAGTCCTGACAAACCAGGTCCTGCCCGCTTGTGGTAATCAGCTCGGTGCTCAACCTGACGCAACGACCGGCCGAGCCACCCCACCCCGCCCCGCCCCGCCCCACCACACCTCGCAAGACCAACCCGACAACAAATATAACGAAGCGGCCGCGTGCATTAACAAGGCTAATTAACGGATTTCAGTCGGGAAACCAAACTGCTCTTTTTCCCGCGCGAAAATCCAGACAGACACGTTTCTTACATTTGCTTTATTATTTCTGCAAGGCCTTTTGCAGTAGACCGCAACAACCAGCCGCACTACTACACCGATTCTCCCCCACCCCACCCCGTCCCCCC